TACACAATGGAGGTTTACTCCCTCTACTTGCCCAGAAAATATATTTAATATTTAATTGGAACCCCTTAGACTTCCAGTGGGTATCATTGGAATCTGTCAAATCCAAACTCAGCTGCTGTGAATCATAAAACCGATATTATATAGCAAAAGTCAGCAGTTAGCAGTGAGAGCCAATGGGAATTGCTGGAAACTGCTTCGGAAAGGAGCGGAGATATCCGGTACTATCTAATCTCCTTGATCAATGGTAAATAACATGCAACAGTGGCCACCAGCAACCAGTGGTGACCAACGTTGGCCACTAGTAAACTTTCCAGTCCGGGGTTTATAACTCGGTGTCTTTCAATGAAACACAAGATTGGGGAAACTGAGTTCCTCATTTTATTATCTAGGGAGTTACACTCGGAGGGGTTGAATTCTCTGACTACACAACCGGTTAATTTCCGCTGGTACTGTATAGATGTTAGTTACTTCCATGTAAAATTTTGACCAGCTCACCTAGCGAGCAATACTTTCTTGGAAGGCCTTGAAGATACCGCTGAAGCTGCAGCACGAGTAGATGCTGTACGCTTGCGTTTACCACCAATAATGTTCCGCTCATTCAACTCGAGATCAATATCTCGAGCTGCAACCAGATTGTCGGACTCGGTCCTGTATGGCCTTCATTGTCAGTGGATTGTGGGGCGACTATTGGGCCAAGATAATAAACGGCGGGTAGTCCGATATATTCAAGTTCATCTGTGTCAACTTCAGATTCCGGGTGAACATCACCGCTGCCGAGGTCGGTGTGAGAGAATTCGCTGCTCGGTTCCGCCACAATAGTGCGAGAATCAGTAAATCTGAACTGGGACGAGTTTATGTTGGCTAAAAAAGTGTCTATATCGAACATTAGATTGTTTGCAAGGTTCGATGTGCCGTACATATATAGTATTCTACGAGTCCCTGCATATAACTAAAAGGATAAGCATGATGCCTGAGTATAACTAAAAGGATAAGTATGATGCCTGAGTATAACTAAAAGGAATATGAGAAAATCTACGAGTTCACCGCCAGGTGATTTCCATCTCCCCTGCAGGTACTACAACACTGCACTGTGGCGACAAAAAGGTCCCTGTTGAGTCACGGTGACCAACGGTGAGAAAAAATGCGGAAAAATATCTACTGTCCATGTGCGTATAGCTTCAATGTCCCTGCAGGCAACGAGTCACCTCCCGCGGCGCGCACCCGGGCTGCTGTCCATTGAACATACTCATCGATTGATGGCTGCATGCTGCCCGCCAACACGTGTAAGGGACAAGGTGCAGCCCCTAAAAGATGAGCGCGATCCATTCCAAATTGAATTTGGAAGCTACCGATCTCCCGGACGCATGCTTGGTTTCTGCAATTACTAGAGACATTAGCAGGATAAAAATGAAAGAACTGTTCCAAATATGAGATTTTCATACAGGTTCAGTCCTCTTGGCCGTGGTAGTTTGAAGCTTCGGCGCCGTCCGCAAGTTTGTTCAATATTTGCGATTCACATTAGTAGATGAAGGTGAGCAGAGCGGCCTGTGGCGCTGCCCGGTACGCGACGACCGATCTCGTCGCGATTCGTGTGCAGTGCCGCCACAGACGTTGAGCGGGGTGTCCGCGCTGGGATGGGAGCGCTGGGATATCCGGGCGGGGGTACTTACGAACGGGCGGGGAGGTACATTGCGTGGAGGCGTGGGGTGGCTCGGGTGGGTGCTTTTGCTCTTCGTCCGTTACGCGAAGAGATCGGGCGCGGCGTGTTACAGACAATGAGCGGGTGGCGTACGCGGTCGGAAAGCGTCGAAGGGGAGCGCGGGCAGGTGCACGGCGGGTAAGTGACCCCAGGCGCAGTACGCAGAACGGTGGATGTCGATGGCGCACGGGGGCACGGTCCCTTCCTTCTGGGAGATGCGGCGGTGGTAGTCCGCGGCGTGTGGAGGCATTATGTGTAGAAGCCCCATTCTGTCGTGGCCCGCCATGCGCCAGGTGCGATAGGCGGCAACTTCTGTGAGTAGTGCTGTATCTTCATCGTGGGCGCGGGCTTGACAGGCGCGATGAAGAGCGGGACATGGCGGTGCGGCGCTGCGGAGAGCACGAGGGCGTGTCATTATCAAGACATACGTTTGAGGAGGAGGCGCCTGCACTCGACAGATCAGTCCGCGGGGGACGTTGGCGACTCCCACGCAAAGTGTACATAAGGACGGTAAGGCCGACAGCCCACTACCTTTCAATAATTCTCTGTAAATAATGCCACAAGCGGCATAAGCAGTGAGTTCTAACTGAGTTCCCAAGAAATTCTTCTGATAAGTCGAGTTGAATACATCACCAATATGACACAGTCCTACTGAAGGCCTCCAACCTGCAGGCCGAATGTGTTGAGTTTTATCGGCGCCCAAAACTCGCTCGGTCGATGCAGGCGCGTCGACCAGCTCGCATTGGGCGCTGAACATTTTGAAAGGACGTATTAAGTCCTTGGTATACACTCTTGATTATGGTGCTCATTATTTAATTCCTGTGGTGCCCAAAACTCGCTCGGTCGACGCGGGCACGTCGACCAGCTCGCATTGGGCGCCGAATATTTCTGCGAGGACAGTTTTAGGACAGTTTGCCCTTTTCTAGACACTGCACCTTTGAATTCCGGGACGTGTCGATTCGAACCCAAATCTTTTGGCTTGCAATAAAGTTCAAATTAGTATCCGTCGATTATCGACGAGTCTGTGGCCAACAATATAATCAATGTATTGACCTATAAATCTAGAGGTAAGCAAAAGACACTGCATAACTTTTCTGGAATCCGTGTTGAGCGATTCATCTACGCTACTGTTTTCTCTCAGGAAATAGGGGTGCACCGTAAGCTAGTTTACGGCGCTCCACGGCATATTTCGGCATTACGCTTAGCCGTTTCGGATGCCGAAGTATCTTGGCAGGGAGAAAAGCTGCTGACGCGATAAGAAATGACCAAAATGTGATTTACTGCCAAAAGTCGATTGATAGGGCGCCCTATAGAAACCCATACCTAAAGGTAGTGGGAATATAAATAGGACTGGCGCGGCACGGAACGGGCTATATATACTGCGAGAAATCCAATCAGCTCCGGAATGGGTGCGGTGCGTAAAAGTTGGCTTACGGGCAAAGAGCTACCCAGATTCAGCGGGGAACGTGCTGGCGTATGGCAAACTGGATCGAAGGAGGGCTACCATAATTGATAGATGGCGCGTGGAGCTGCCATGTACGGGAGGCCTGGTGGTGTGAAGAGTGCGCTAGGAGTACTAAGGGATACCCAAGAGAGAAGACTGGTGAAAAGCGAGGGATGGGCACAGGAGATCTATGATGTTTGCAGGATGAACTGAGGAGCGGTTCCCATATCTGTCCTCAAGCCCACAATGAGTTCCTCCAATTGAAATCGTCTGTGGTTGCGAGTCACGCCGGGAACGCGTGATGCGCGCCATCAGCGAGTTGAGTTAGCTTGCCCAGACAAAGTAATTGGAATGGAGAGACTCATCCTGACTCACCGGGAAAACAAGAATGTCTGTCCGAAGTGCATCATGGCCCAGGCTCGAGTCGGATGAGCGGCAACTGGCACTGCGCTGGGCCTGTACAAGCATAAAATGAAGATGAATAGATCATTTTGGCGCTTAAAGTTACTGAGAAAGAAATAGCTCAAGTACGCATTCCATGACCCAGGTTCGATTCCGAGTAGCTCCTGCTCCACTCACAGTCTGCTTTCTTACATGGTTCAAAGGCGGACCGTGTCTATAAAAGCAATAAAAGGTACTCGAATAGACCCAGTATTTTGGGGCTTACAGACTGGAAAAATCGAAAGAAGAGGTTGATGGCCCAGGCTCGGGTCGAACGAGCTTCTTCCTCAACAACAACTGTGAATCAAGTCATTGCATGCAGATGCGGACCACCACTCGGCCTGCTGAATAATAAAATGAGGTGCGAGACACCACAATTTTTACGCCGCACGTACAGAAATGTGAATAAATGCCTGTTATATCAAAAAAAAAAATCTGGCCCTCACGGCTCAGGCTCGAATCGAACGAGCAATTTCTGCATGACTAGCAGGTTCTCACATACGTGGTGCAAATAGGGTTCAACACGGGTCCACCCGCGGGTACCAAATGGTCAACCCGGACCCGGACCCGCCAATACCGTACCCGACCGACCCGCGGGTTCAAACCCGTACGGGTCACCCGCGGGCCGCTGATCTACCCACGGTTCCTCAAACCCGTCGGGTCAACCCGCGGTATGCAACCAAAAAAAGGCAAGAAGTAGTGCATTCTGAGGCGTGTAAACTATCTACCAACTTACCTACCAGGTTTAGAAAATATTTAGGCCACTGGTGTTGAGCAAGTTCGACGAACATAATTTTATTAGATTTTTTGTAAACTTGGTAATGGGCTGTGCCACTTGTCGGCCTTACCGGCCTTATTGAGAAACATATGAGTGCTGTGTTTGATAGGTGTAATGTAGCAGTTGAACAAAGAATGAGAGGTCAAGTGGATACGAGGCCAGAGTGAAGCCAGAACCTTGTGCATCATGGTCGAACCGAAGTGACGATGACGGACTTTGATTAGATCAGCAGCGATCATCTTGCAACACTTTAATTCTTCGCAATTTGCTGGATTTCGTCAGTCAGCTCACTTTTTCATCCCATTTATACTAGTTTTCCAATCGAATAGTCGGTTTGACGTCGTATACGGCCGAAGGCGACCGACTGTTTGTAGGTAAGCTCTTGTCGGCCGAAAACCCGCGGGTTTACCGTGCGGGTCCACGGTATTGCAACGGGTCGAAAATCTCAACCCGTACCCGAACCCGGCTGACCCACGGGTCCAAACCCGCGCGTGGACCCGATACCCGTGTTGAACCCTAGGTGCAAATGCGGACTATCCACTACTGGGCCTGCAAAACCCCTAAGCTGAACGTGGATCAAGCACGGATTTTAGGGCTCACCAGCAAGGGAAAAGAAATTTCAAGTGATCATCGACACACGGCCCAGGCTTGAGTCGAACAAGCGTCTTCTGCACAAGTTTGTTGGCTCTTCGGGATTGCGTGCAGACGCAGACCATCTGCCACTGGGCCCCTAACCACAATAAAATGAGGTGGGATAAAGCTCGATTTCTACTCCGCACCGTGGGGGAAAAACAATCAAGCCGCGCTCATGGCTCGAGTCGAATCAGCAATGTCTGCATGACATAAGTGGTGCAGACGCGGACCATCCACCACTGGTCCTGTAAACCAAAAGGATGAAGGTGGATAGAGCCGGAAGTTTAGTTCTCACCGGCGAGGGGGAAAAAAGTCTGGGGAAACAGCGAAAAATGGCCCAGGCTCGAGTCGAATGCCTCTTAGATAATAAAATAAGCACGAATAAAGCACAGATTTTAGTGCTAATAACCATTCAAAAAAAAAAAGGCAGCTAAACTGGCAGCAATGCCCAGGCTCTCGGAGTCGAACGAGCGGTTTCTGTGCAACATCCCCAAAGCCGTTTTATCTATTTATTGCAGAAGCGGACCATTCGTCACTGGGAAATGTTTATAAACTTAGCCGGAATTCTAGCTTGGAAAAAAGAAACATAACTCGACTAGAATCCACGGTCCAGACTCGAGTCGAGCGAGCCTCTTCTGCAGTACTCGGTACTTCGGCAGTGCTTACCGATCGCAGATGCGGACCATCCGCCACTGGACCTGTAACGCAATAAGATGGACGTGGATGAAGGCGGCAAAAGTACCGTTCCCTACGTATTTATGTACCTGGCTCAAAAGGTACGGCCCTTCCTGGATGGACGCGGTACAGGTGCTTGCGCTCCGTCTCTGCGATGCCTATCGGCCTTGTTGGCTCGAGCTTCTTTGTCCGCTCGCGACGTGGAGGGACCGAGGGCTGTTCGCGGTAGGACCAGGGACCGTTCGACGCCCAGGCACGCAAGGGCGCAAGTGAGCACCGTGGGGCATGTAGTGTCAAGAGCGGGGTACGCAGGGCTGCTATCATCGAGACACGATTGTGGCGCCGGCGATCTTGTGGGCGCGAGCGCTCGGGAGAGCTGGGTACGCAAGTTGCCTGCCGCCCAGACATTGGCGCAGACGACCTCGTAGCGCGCCGGGAAAGGAGTGTGTGTGACTACGTCCGTGTGCGCCCGCTGCACGGTGGACGCACCTAGGAGCGCGCGGCGGCACGGTAGAGCGTGCTGGGAGGACTGGGCTGGGCAAGCTGCGCGGGCGTGCACGCCCTTCCCATCGTGCATGCACGGCCTTCTTCGTGTGTGCGCGCCCTTCTTCCCACGAAGAGATCGAGTGCGTCCGCGCCCTCACTTCGGATACCAACGATGCCCCAGCGCATCCAACCGAGAGTCATACTCAACGTGGGTGCGGGGGGGATAGTCGGGGTAGTCGCCGTGCAGCGAGCCGAGGGGTAGTCGTCGCGTGTACCGCTGCCGAGATATGGGTAGTCGCGCGAGTGATACCGCAGATACTCTCCGCCTGCTGCAAAGCCGAGCAACGCCGTGACTCTGAGACGCTTCGGACGACGTCAAGGTTGAGCTCGCGCGTGTGCTGCGCTTGATGGGCGGGTCTGCTGACGCGTTGGAGGGTGACGAGTGGGCACAGCCCTCCTGAGCATGTTCGCAGACGCTGCGGGGTTATTGGGTTAGTCCTTTGTATTGGACTTGTTATTACGAAGGAAGCACACCTTTGCCTTCTGCCTACGACCTACAAGCACGCGGTGCGCTAGATTGCATGGAGGTCGGGGACGTGGACGTAGACGCCGTGTAGGCGCGGGTGCCCTTCCTCGCGTGGACGTTGTCGAGGGGCAGCGCCGGAAAGTGCACGGCGCGTAAGCAGCGACCCCAAGCGCGGAATCTTCGTCGCACAGTCGCGATCCGCACAAGCGGCACGAAGTCGCACCGGGGGGTACGCAGAACGGTGGATGTCGAAGGTCCTTGCGGTGGAGCGCGTCGGGGAAGCGGGGGTCGTATACAGCGTAGTACGACGCTGCGGATAGTATGAGAGCGCGCCTCGTCGTCAATGCCACACCGCGACCGCGGATGGAGCTTTGAAGGAGGAGGCCGCCTGGACACGTCCGCGTGTGCTGTCCCGTGAGCCTCGGGGTAAGTTTGTGGAGTGAGCACGCAACGTCTTCACGCAACGTCTTTATGAATACGATACGGCGCGGACCGAGCTGTATGTACCGCGATACCAGCTGTGTACGGGACGATGATATGCAACAAAGACGCCGGGTATCCAAAGTGAGAGCAGTGGCGACTCTGGCGATTCGGAGTCCGGGATATGCAAGGGAGCTTCAGGCTCGTTGGTTGCGAGTTGATTGCGAATTAGGCTCGATACCAGCCTCTCTAGCGGACCACACACTTGGAAGACAATCGTTCACAAGTGCTATGCTATAGAGTTGCGAGTCACACCGGTAACGCCTGATTCCCAATGGCACTAGTTGGTCACGATTTCAACTTTCATTTCAAGTCTCGCTGCTTCAAGTTTTTTTCATGGTGGCCGGCTCTCAGACGAAACAGCGTGGCATGAGAGGTATAGGTATTATAGCTATTAATTAAGTACAGATCATTATTACAGGTAGGTAAGAGTAGGTATAAAGATCGATAAAAATATATAACACTCTACTTATTTAGCGAAAATGTTGAGAATTCTTGTACGGGTATGAATTTTTTTATGGAAAGCAGAATTGACGGCTCGGCAGGTGTTGCAAAAATTGCCAAAAGAGGGCGAAAGGTATCGCATGCAGATACGATACAGGATCTTGTACCTCTTGCCATATGGTAGGCCGGCATTTGGCAAGCGCTTTCAATTTGCCCGTACGTATGATGAAGACCGATATCGTATCTGTGGTGTTGGTTGATTGTCGAACCCCCAGCATCCTGAATGATTGGTCATTCCAAAAGATGAAGCAGGGAGGCCAAGGTGCTCACCAGAGATGCGGTACGACCTCTGCGCATGCTTGTAGTTCCCACCATCCTGTCGTATCCTCCTCCGGCGAATCTGGGTACTCGATGGTGATCTCCCCCAAATCCTCCAGGACACGGAGCTTGAGATCGGAGTTGAGCGAGGTTTGAGTTGCCGGCAGGACACCCTTGCCGAGGGCGAACGTGGATCCAAAGATCATGTTCTGGATCGTGCCGTCGGCTGCATGTCGCAGGAACATAACCAAGGTTCGAGGTTGGGTCGCATATAAAAGTGAGCTAGATGTGTATAGGGCGAGCTGGATGTAGAGCATAAACTCTTTTACGGCCGCCGCGACCGATTCCGGTGGTCCTGCGAGTTCTGAGGCGGTGAAAGCTGCAGATATCAGAGTCCTCGTTAGCAGATAATTCCCATAAGTCCGAGTGGAGGCCGCACCTAAAGCAGCGTGGTGGTTCCGGAGGCGGATATCTGAGCGGCCGTGTACCGGAATTATGACCGGATCGTCGAAAAGCGTGGCGCTTCAAGTATAGATGAGCACACCATTAAGTATTGAATCCGCCACTCACGGAGAAAGATACTAATTGTTTTATTGCAGCATGAAGAGGCGAAATCGTGTTGAGCGGGGCGGCCATAGAATTTTGAAGCACGTCGGCGAGCTGGGGAAAGTGTGCTGAGTTGAACAGTCAGGTCAAGTAACGTCAAGTTGAGGTACGACACGCCGGTTGTGTGCTTTCGCAGCCACGCTCATCGCGCTATTGATAAGGCGGGGACACCCTGCGGGCGCAGCATCGCGGAACAGGTGAGGAAGGAACATGGGCGTCCGGGAAAGAGCGTTTCTGCATTTCTGGTTGAGTGTTGTGGCTGTGTTGGTGTTTCCCCATAGGGGTCTTGCTACATCAGCCAGCAGGCAATCTGAATTGATCCTAGTTCACTGAAATTACCCCTTCCAGGCGGTTCCAATCCGCCGTGCGCACAAAATGCTCCAAGCTAGTAAAAACACCATGAAATCGCTGCATCACACTCGAGCGCCTCGTAAGGGACTCAGAGCGGGCCTCGTTCCCCCACAGGTAATATGTGCCTGCGCCACCAGACGGGCAAAGCACCGTGTCTCCGCGGTGGGCGTCCATGTACACGAACAGCTCAGGGACAAACCCCGCAAGCGCGTGTCCGTATCCTTCCACCAGGTCCGATTGAGGCTCCTCGTACCAGTCGAGGGAATCAATGAAGGCATGCCATTCACATGACCACGGCTCGGGGAGCTCTGAGTCGGGGATGCGCGGCCACTCAGAAACGCGGGGTATTTCGCTCAATTCGCTAATCCCGAAGTATTCGATATCCCGTGGCCTGTACCCAAATGTTCCCTGTTGGGGACGTGAGCCAAGAACAGAATCGATGGAAGGTGCGCAACATACAGGTGGGGGACACATGTCCCAGAGCGTGCGCCTAGGACTGGGTCGGTCAGAGCATGGCGTTATAAATGGGAAGGGGACATACTATGGCTCGTGGGCGGCGACACGGAATCCCTTATTACTGATCAAAGGGAGCGGAGGGGCGATGGCTGATGCTACCGTTGCCTCTGTTGAAGTCAGAATCGGGTATATTCGACGATAACGGCTTACTGTCGTCCCATCTGGCGAGGTTTATTCTCTCCATGCGGTTCCAATCCGCCTGCTCAATAAATGCCTCCACAGACGAAAATGCTCCCTCGAAGGCGTGCACCTCCTCGGGCAGCTCTGGCAACGCCCATTGCCCGTAATACAGATAATATTTACCAGTGGTGGCGCACGCGAAGACTGTCGTCGCCGTTCCATTGCTGGAGTTGAACATTACGGGAGTAAGAGGTGCGTCACTGAGTGCATAGCGAGCGGAGAGGGTCGCCTCTAGTGGGTGCGACCCTGCCCAGTACGGCCAATGTGCCCAATTGCACGTCCAAGGCTCGGGGAGGTTAGCGTCCGGTATGGATACCCAATTCCGGGCGCGCTCGTGTGAGCGGTCAGTTTTCGAATGGTGCAGCATGGCGCGGCGCCGGGAGGATATACAGAACTCGGCCGGCAGGTACATCCAATAACCCGTCACATTGAGACCAAGCACGGCACATTCTCATTGATGTACCGCCTTTGGCATCAAAGGCGGCACTTGCCATTTTGGAATGTACCGCGCGTCGGTAAGCCTGGTTTCGTTAGGGGACACGTGTCCTGTCCCGCTCCCGCTTGTTTCATCTTTTCTCCTACCACTACTGACCACCACTCACCCAATCCCCCGACGCGTCGAATGCGCATCAAAATGGCCACTATTGCGGGCGCAGGATCTAAACACACGCCGGCAGACCGAGAATACCTTGATAGCCCGTCAGCTCGTCAGTTGATGGACTTCCGTGACTACGTGCGTGGTTTCCGCGGCATGCACCCACCTACCGATTCTGAAGCCCCCAGCCAGCTTTCTCTGCCACGTACATCGCACGCAACGCCAGCAAGTTCCTCGACCACGAATGGGTGGATATTGCTCTTCTTCGCGAGTATCTCGGGCAACTACAAAATTCTGCATCGTCTGACGCGTCTACGACGCGTTCATCCACGATCTCTGATCCGGTTCGCGTCAAAATCGAAGCGCCAAGAATAAGAAGTCGATGAAGCGAAAAAAAGGCGAAGGGAAAACAAGGTACACATTTCCCTCTATGGTTCTGTTCTGCTTTCTGAGTTACTTCCATTTCCAATGGTTCGAGGTTGAAAGAGCTTTGGTGGAAAAGGCGGTATCGAGAACGGGAGGAATTTCTTATTACTTACTTACTTCCCACGTGCACCTTGAATTTAGTTATTTAATATTTGTGCCTGAACAACGGTGCTCCCACTGTGCCTTTTGTGTTACCCGTTCCGGGGATGCCACCATCAATCAAGCCGGGACGGCAAGGCCCGGACACATCATTTTGGAATGTGCCGGGCTTGGAAGAATGTGCCTTTCATGCGGCGGAATGTACCGTGCATGGAATGTACCTGCCGTCCGCGTTTCGTTGGTCCCGCGGCGCCGGTAGTCCCAGGTGGCCTGAGTGTGTCAATATCAGCTGCGGACTTGACAGGTGTGCTCACGTCGGGGACATGAAGATCCCAAAACCGGCGGGGACGACGGACAGGGAGGGAGGCGAGTCCTCTGGATCTTGGGCAAAAGGCCCTGACGATGGAACGAGAGCTGAACATGACAGGGGAGGCAGCGCTAGTCCTTGCATATATATAGCTCCCAGCAAATTTGATATCCGTTGTCTTGGTTCGATTGGATCGAAATCCGATTCAATCATCGGATAAATCTTGAGTCACGCATCTGCGGCGGCGTACCAGTCACCACTGGCTCTCCCTCCGAGACGGAACAGACATATATACGGAAAGCCACAGTATGAGTTCAAAAAATCCGTGAGAATATGTCGGCACTATCCGTTCACTTTGATCCTCATAACAGTGCTGATGGGTTTCCAATTAGAAGAGCTTTATTCCCTATCTCATATATTTATTTGCCTTTTATATTCTCCTTTGAACCTAATGCGTCGCGGAATATTGTTTACAGCCAGTGGGCAACGATACGTTTCAGGAGCATTATGTTACATAAATGAAAACAAACAGGTGTTGTGTAAAACGGGATTTAAAACCAACGAGTAAATATACTAATTACCATACATTGTGAATTCCTGCCCCCGCTCAAAAAAACTGGGTATCCACGGTTTTAATTATTAAGGAGTGCTCTCTCTTTAGCTCTTCTCGGATATCCTCGGCTTGGCTCGCGACTTCACCTTGGAATCAATCTGATGATGTCGATCGAACAGTTCGGCATTGACAGGCAACAAAGAGAGTCTCGGCGATGGACCCGACGAGCGCAGCATGTGTTGAACATTCCGAAGTTATTGCGGGGGTGCATTGGGCTCTAAAGGCAGAGAAGACGCTGAAGGTCGGATTGACAAGGAAGAACACTAGGATCTTCCGAACACCCGGTTTTGTAGGGTCTGAGAGCCTGAAGGAGGAAACCTACATGCTTTTAAATACATGGCAACGCAGCCGTGATATAAACGACGCAGCCGGTGCTGATAAAGATGAGCGCGATGCATTCCAATTTAAGTTTGGAAGCCGCCGAGCTCCCCGACGCATGCTTGGTTTCTGCAATATCCGTAAGTAATTAGAGACATTAGCAGCAGGATAGAAATGAACGAACTGTTCTAAGGATGAGATTTTCATATAGGTCCAATCCTCTTGGCCGTGGTAGTTTGAGGCTTCGGCACCGTCCGCACGTTTGTTCAATATTTGCGATTCACATTAGTAGCTGAAGGTGCGCAAGGCGGCCTGCGGCGCTGCGCGGGTGATTGTAGCATACCGGGACTACGGGCGCGGCGCGGTAGATTGCGCGGAGTACGTAAGCGGTCATCCGGTACGCGATTTGTGCGCAGTGCCGCCACGGACGTTGAGCGGGGTGTCCGTGGGGGGGAGTGCGGGATATCCGGGTGAGAGTGCTTACGAGCGGGCGGGGAGTTACATTGCATGGAAGACAGGATGGGCAGGCAGCGTGGGGTGGGTGCGCATGCCCTTCCTCTTTGTCCGGTACGCGAAGAGATCGGGCGCGGCGTGCTACAGACAATGACATCACAACCGTGATTCGCAAGCTATGGCAAGGAGGCGCAGAATAAGCCCTCTCCACAACCCTGTTAGATTTTTATATCATGGACTACATCATGAGATAGTGATATTAATTGCACCTGCGGACAAAAAATGAAGTGAAAAATGGTTTCCTCTCCCAATGTTCCCACTGAGTACAACCTTCATTCGCATGCCATCGCCCCAGGACCGTAACAGATCTAGATTTCCTCGCCGAATTCCTTGGACTTGACTCGAACAGGCGACCTTCTCCTTCTAGCCCAAGGTCAATGTTACATTGAGTGGAGACGCAGGGCAACCCTGCTGCTCAAGCTTGTTAAAAAAAACCTGAACCCGCAGCAGGCCGCATGCAGAACGAAGGATCCGGATCAGAGGAAGAAGAATAAAAGATGACAGAAGTGTTACGGCCGGGCTCAAATCGAACGAGCGGTTGTTTGCGTGGAGATGTTCCATGGTCATTGATCGCAGATGCGGATACCGTCCGCCACTGGGCCTTAGCGCATTAAAATAAATTTGGATGAACCACAGAAATCAGCGTTCACTGGGCAAAAAAGACATGCGGAACTGCTACACGGCCCAGGCTCGAGTCGAACGAGCGGTGTCTGCATGCATCCCGTTTGAGTTTATATATTGACTGCAGATGCGGATACCGTCCGCCACTGGGCCTATAGCGCAATATAAATGAGCTTAAATAATGCACGGAGTTGAGGTCACGGCCTTCAGTGAAAGAACAAAGGCACCGTTCCCTCCTCAAACTTTACGGCCCAGGCTTGAGTCGAACGTTAACGAGTGAATGTCTACATGGCTATATATTCCCGCCTCTTTGCTGAGTGCAGACGTGGATACCGTCCGCCACTGGGTTTTTAGAGCAATAAAAGTGAGGTTGGATAAACCACAGAATTCAGCGCTCACTGCTGATGGGCAAGGAGGAAAAATCTTCTACGAACATAAGCAATACGACCCAGGCTCGAGTCGAACGAGCGAGTATCTGTAGGTATCGATTTACTTAGCGATTAAGAATCATTGAGTGCAGACGCGGATACCATCCTCCACTGGGCCTACAAATCAATAAAAATAACTCGGATGAAGCACAGAAATGAGAAATCAGGGCTCACAGGGCACAAAAAAATGGACTCAAGACCTCTTATACGGCCCAGGCTCGTGTCGAACGAGCGACTGTCTGCATACTTTCAACGTTTTGATCCGCCACTGGACATATGGAGCATTAAAGTGAGGTGGGTTAAACAGAATTCACCGCTCACTGGGCACGAAAAAAAAAAGATTTGACTGCTTCAGGGCCCAAGCTCGAGTCGAACGAGTGAGTATTTTGTATGTTTTCAATGCGATAGATATATTGAGTGCAACACGGATACCGTCCGCCACTGGGTCCATAGCTCAACAACGCGAGCGTAAATAAAGACGAGATTATTTAGGCCTCATCAAAGAAATGTTGAGATAGCTTGCACTTCCCAGGTTGGCTGTCATTACTCGTTGAACGGCGCATATTCAGATCTGATTTTGGGCAAGAGTCACTAACTGTCAGCGAAAACCAACCTGGTACAGATGAAGAAGAAAAAACATGGCCTCAGATTACAGCCCAGCCTCGAGTCGAACGAGCGATTGTCTGCATGGATGTCTTTGTCCCACTCATTGAGTGCAGATGCAGATACCGTCCGCCACTGGAATGAAAATCAACTCGGATACACGACACACAGAATTCAGCGCCCCGGGAAGAAACAAAAACAACTCCACAATCCTACACGGCCCAGGCTCGGGTCGAACGAGCTTTATCTGTATCTTAACACCCACTGGTGGCAGAAAAAGCCGCTGCTGGTAGTAATAGTCGAGTAAATCATACATACAGGTTCAATTGTACCGCGTGCAGAGAGGAACCATCCACCAGTGCTACAATGCAACAGAATCGGCATTAGGGAACCAATAGCGGCGCTTTAAAGAAAGGCTAAGTGATACAAGGCTCACTTGCTGGTCGGAAGGGAAAAAAAGATAGTTATCCTGAATGGTCCAGGCTCGAGTCGAATGAGCTATTGCCTGCATGGATTTATTTTGCGCCTATAATGACTGCATATGCGGATGCCGTCCGCCACTGGGCCTATAAAAGCTGTAAGGTGAACTTGAATAGACCATGGGTTTTACGCCGCACCGTAGAAAGGAAATCTAGAGAGTGTTCATGGCCGGGCTCAAGTCGAACCATACAAGCTTGGTTCAATCGTACTGCGTTCAGAGACGGACCATCCGTCATTGGACCTAAAATGCAACAAATCGGCATAAGGAAACTAGTGGTCAAAGAGAGGCTCACCAAGTTGCTGGTCGGCGGGGTGAAAAAACATAAGCGAGGGGACTACGGCCCAGGCTCGAGTCGAACGAGCGACTGTTTTCACGGAGATCTTTTGCCGTTACTAATGGCAGACGCGGATACCGTCCGTCACTGGGCCTTTAGGGCAATAAAATGAGCTCATATAAACCACACACAGAATTCAGCGCTTACCGTCAACGGGCAAAAAAAATCCTGATCAGGATTCAGCGGCTGCCTCACGGCCCAGGCACGAAAGTCACCTCGGATAAATCACACAGAGTTCAGCGTTCACCGTCAATGGGCAAAAAAAAGTGTCATCAGGATTCAGTTGCCTCGCGGCCCAGGCTCGAGTCGAACGAGCGGTTGTCTACATACATTTCATTTTATTCCACGCTCTCATTGATCGCAGACGCGGAAACTGTCCGCCACTGGCCTTAGCGCAATAAAAATCAACTCGGGTGAACCTCAGAAAATTAAGAGAAATCAGCGCTTACCGGGCACGAAAAAAGTTACTCAAGATCCGATACACAACGGCCCAGGCTCGAGTCGAACGAGCGTTGTCTGCACAATTATGGCGTACCGTATACCTATTGATTGCAGATGCGGATACCGTCCGCTACTGGGCCTACAAATCAATAAAAATCAACTCAGACGAACCACATAAATTTGCTTACCAGGCACGAAAAAATTGATTAGCTTGCGCTACACGGCCCAGGCTCGAGTCGAGCGAGCGTCTATCTGCATATAGCGCATGGTACCTATTTATTGAGTGCAGACGCGTAAACCGTTCGCCACTGGGCCTACGGAGTCTTAAAAATGAACTCGGATAAATCATACAAAGAGTTAAGCGCTCACTGGGCACAAAAAGATGCAAGAGCTGCCACCAAAGACCCAGGCTCGAGTCAAACGAGCGACTATCTGCATAGATATGGTTCATCCTCTTCAGCCATCGATCACAGACGCGGATACCGCCCGCCACCGGGCCTATACCCTAACAGTGTGAGCGTAATAAACCCCAGATTATTTAGGCCTCACCATTCGATAGCATGCAATCTCAGGTTGGTCGCTCAACGGCACATATTTAGATCTGATTTTGGGAAAGGGACGGATTGTCAGCGGAAAATAAACCTGAACCCAAGGCAGGCGGAAGGAAAGATCCGGATCAGAGGAAGAAAAAAGTCAGGAATTTCTTTACCGGACACGAAAAAAAAAACGCTGCGACACCTACTATACGGCCCAGGCTCGAGTCGAACAAGCCTCCGCTCTTCCATTGATCGCAGATGCGGATAGTGTCCATCACTGGGCCTATCGGGCAATAAAATGAGCTCGTATAAACCACACACAGAATTCAGCGCTCATCGTCAACGGACAAAAAAGCCGTATCGGATGCAGCACGGCCCAGGCTCGAGTCGAACCCGCATACATTTTTTTCCCGCACTTCCATTGATCGCAGACGCGGATACAGTCCGCCACTGGGCTTGTGAACTACGCACCGGGGCTTGGAGTAAACTGGGAGTATAGTTGGAGTATACTAATTGCCCGGAGGAGCGGGAATTGAGGAGCGGTGACGTCATCCCGCCGGCATCCCCCGCAATTGCTTTCCGGTGCGGTGGCACGCACATTGGATGATGATAGCGGTATCCATGATGACACGTACGATGGGCGCGTATTCATGGCGCCAATGTTGGCTGTGGGCGCGCGGCGGGGAAAGAAAGGAGGCGCAAACTGCCGGGTGGAAATGAATTAAAGAGATGAAATGAATGTTGCGCAGTGGAGTCAACTAGAATAGCGCTGAGCGCTGGGCAACGGAGACGGTGGCGTTGCGAAGTTGCGAAGGAATATAAAAAGGGAAAGCTCCACGGAGAAAGCTAATGGGGTGTAGGCGCAGATGTGGGCGCGAAAAGAGCGAAATCGGAAATAGGGAGATCGAATCGCTAAGAAAAGAGATATCGCTCAACGCAAGCAAATGCACCAAAAAAATCCGTTTGGTTAATGCTGAGTAATAACAACTACAATTCGTTTCTTCTGCCTTTTGTTTCCGTCATTCCTCGTTACGTTACGCAGCCGCACCCGCGTCAACGCGCATTTAGCACTCGCCCGAGTCGGCGATGACGATGGCGTAGTTCTTGTCCTTGGGCGCGCCGCTCTCGGAGCCCATCGACTCGATCTTCTTGACGATGTCCTGGCCCTCGACGACCTCGCCTATGGTGTGTGTGAATATAGATAGGGGCACGATGTAAGGGACGCGAGACGCACCGAAGACGACGTGCTTGCCATCGAGCCACGAGGTGACGACGGTGGTGACGAAGAACTGGGAGCCGTTGGTGTTGGGGCCGGCGTTAGCCATGGAGAGCAAATAGGGCTTGGTGTGCTTGTGCTTGAAGTTCTCATCTGATAGCGATCGCGTTAATCTAATGGAATAATGAACGCCAGCTAGCCAACCAAAACGCACCCTGGAACTTCTCGCCGTAGATGCTCTTGCCGCCGGTACCGTTGAAGGCGGTGAAGTCGCCGCCCTGGAGCATGAAGTTGGGGATGACGCGGTGGAAGGTGGAGCCCTTGTACCCGCCGACCTGGTGGCCGATGCAGAGCTGGCGGAAGTTGTCCGTCGTGCGCGGGACGTCGGCGTCGTACAGCTTGAACACGATGCGCCCCAGCTTCTCCTTCGCCTCTGTCGACGTCGGCTTGCCGTTCTTGGCCGGCCTGGTCTCTACATCAAACTGCACCCCAATCAGCACATATCCAGCACCAATAACACGGGCAGAGGAATGCTACACACATATACGTTGGACATGGTGGTGGTGGTTGGATGTGAAGAGGGATCGATGGTCTCATCGATCGTTAAAAGGCCGGCGGCAGCCGACAGATCGGATATGATAGATCGCATCCCGGATGCGCACTGACCACCCCGTGACCATTTACGCACAGCTGTCACTGTCCCAACCTTCCATCGCTGTTCAACCGCCTTCCATCTGCTGCTGAGCACCTTCCATCTGTTGTCCAGCTGCCTTCTTCCTCCGCTGTGCGTGGAGGCGCCCTTTCGAAGTGCCCCAAAATCCTGATCACAACATCCTCTTTCGTCATTCGACGTCGTCACCATCGCCACCGCCTCCGCCGTCGGGGTTAGCTGAATCGTCACCCCAAATCATCCTCGGCGGACGTGTCATCAGCCCGAAGGTGCGGCGCGCCACAAGGCGCTTTTCTTGAATGTTTGATGTCGGCACGCTAAGGGCCTTTATTATTCAAGTGGCCCAGTGACGGACGGTCCGCATTTGCATTATGTGAGGGCGAACCTACCTGTCGTGCAGAAATTGCTTGTTCGAATCGAGCCTGAGCCATGCGCTGGTCAAGGGGTGCCTTTTCTTTCGATAGACCAGGTGTTTATCCACGTTCACATTTATTATTAAAAGGCCCAGTGGCGGATGGTCCGCGTCTGCACAAATTACCAACTCACTCTCAAATGCATTCATACAGATACCGCTCGTTCGACTCGAGCCTGGGCCATAGGGTATTCTCTTGTAGATCTTTTTCTTATCACACGAGCACTACAATCCGTGCTTTATTCACGTTCAGCTCATTGCTTTTGCAAGCCCAGTGGCGGACGGTCCGCGTCTGCACGCAATGCAATTTCACATTTCGGCCCTGAATGCAGAAGAAGCTCGTTCGACTCGAGCCTGGGAATTAGCCCCTGCCTCGCTGCCTTTTTTTTTTCACGGTGAGCACTAGACATACGGGATCTATCCAACTTTACCTTATTGCTTTTACAGGCCCAGTGGCGGATGGTCCGCATCTGCAATCAATACACCGGCAACAACGTGACGCAGAAGTTGCTCGTTCGAATCGAGCCTGGGTATTCCTGCCTTCACTGCCTTTTTTACGGGGCGGCATAAAAACTCCGGTTTACTTCAGTTCATTGTATTGCTTTTACAGGCCCAGTGGCGGCTGGTCCGCAGCTGCAGGTCCCAAATGTTGCGACAGAAATTGCTCGTCGAGCCTGGGGCCAAGGATTCTGATACTCCCTTTTCTTCGTAGCAAGCCAATAAGTCTTGCTTTATTCAAGCTAAGTTTATTGCTTTTACAGGCCCAGTGGCGGATGGTCCGCGTCTGCATGCAATTCTGCTGAAAAAAGTTGTTGCAGAAGATGCTCGTTCGAATCGAGCCTGAGCCGTGAATGGTGATTGATAAACTGTTTTGCTGGTGAGCACTAAACTTCCCGCTCTATCCCAGTCCATTTCATTGCTTCAAAGGCCCAGTGGCGGATGGTCCGCATCTGTACGCAAATTTCCATTTGCGATCAAACTTGTACAGAAGATGCTCATTGGACTCGAGCCTGGGCCGTGGGTTGCAGCATATATCTTTTTTACGGCGAGGACTAAAATCCGTGCTTTAATCAAGTTCATTTTATTGTGTTTACAGGCCCAGTGGCGGATGGTCCGCATCTGCACTACATAATTATTGATCACATCTGCGATGGATGCATATAACCCGCTCGCTCGACTCGAGCCTGGGCCACGGACCGGGAGGTTTTTTTTCCCCCGGTGCGTCGTAGGAATCGCGGTTTAACCCAGCTCACCTTGTTGCTTTTACAGGCCCAGTAGCGGATGGTCCGCGTCTGCACCATGTACATGGATCAATTCGTGTCATGCAGAACCTGCTCGTTCGACTCGAGCCTGGGCCGTGTCGGTGGTTTCTTTTCTCAATAAGCACTAAATTACCTTCTCACTTCGAGTTTACTTTATTTCTTTTACAGGTCCAGTGCCGGATGGTCCGCGTCTGCACGCAATCCCGAAGAAGAGCCAACAAATTTGTGCAGAAGACGCTCGTTTGACTCGAGCCTGGGCCATTACTCCCTGTTTTGGTTTTTTTCCCCCCCGGTGCGGCGTAAAAACTGCGGTTTATTTACGTTCAGCTTATTTCTTTTACAGGCCCAGTGGCGGATGGTCCGCGTCTGCACAGATTAGCATCTGCTTGGAAGTATTCAGGTAGATGCTGCTCGTTCGACTCCAGCCTGGGCCACGCATGAAATGCTCTCTCTACACTTTTTCCCTCTCGCCGGTGAGCACTAAAATCCGTGCTTTATTCAGGTCCACCATTTTGCTTTTATAGTCCCACTGGCGGATGGTCCGCACCTGAAATCAATAAAAGGATCCCAAATGTTGTGGTAGAAACTGCTCGTTCGAATCAAACCTGGGCCGTGAGTTGGCCAGTATATAAATATTTTTCCTACAGTGCGGTGTTAAAATCGTGGTTTATCCCAGTCCATTTTATTACTCCACAGGCCCCGTGGCGGATGGTTCGCGTCTGCATGCAATAGTGAGACTGAAGAGAAGTTGCTGCAGAACCTGCTCTACTCGAACCAGTACCTATGCGCAAGATCAAAGACAGTCGTTTGTGATTGATTGTTATCATTGGTCAAATAACTACTGGCTCGAGTCTACACAATGATTGGCTAGCCTTGACTCGATGCCCTCACAAGGACGGTATTGGTTTGCGAAGACCGGGACCGCTAGCGCCCGTTTGACATCGGCAGTGCAGTGGGCGACACCGCCTCTGGGCAGGCTGTTAGCTTATTTAGTAACTTTAAACTTAGTATGTCTGCACTATTGTCTCAATTTGGCCTACATTGTTTTAATTTGACCTAGTATCACCCGCGCCCAACTCGGCCCGGGGCCGGGATTGCATTGATCGCGACACATCCTTTCTGGACCTTTCAAGAAAATATGCTCACTTTCAGATGTTTGATTCGAATCACCCATAAAGCTCCATAATTATTGAACGGCTGCCAGTGTTCAAACACTATATATTATCGGAGGCGCTCAGATTTCAGGCTGTTCGACAGCCTGAGATGATAGATCCCGCACTCGTCGTGCTACATAAATAGGGTACAAGGCCACCTTGCCACTTCAATCTTGCCACCCAACTACCATGTCAGACCCAGAGAAGGTGCCGCTAAATGGTCACATCCCAGTCGTAGATTCGACACCGGGTACGTTGCTCACTTGCACTCCTCACCGTTGACTGAACAGCTCGGGCAGGCGATGAGGCGTGTGCCAAAATTTGGTCGGTCTATGGTTCGGAAGCAGAAAAGTACGACAAAGCCTTGGTGGATCGCTGGAGAGGCAATATGAATGGCATGTTGATATTTGTGAGTGCATGACAGCGCCCACGAACTGCAACTCAAATGTGCAGGCCGGTCTATTCTCCGCCATCCTTACTGCTTTCATCATCGAAAGTTATAAAACTTTGCTGCCCCCAGATTCGAACAAGCCGCTAGTCGCCCTTTTGAATCAGATTTCTCGCCAGCTCGCCGGCAACGACAGCATACCTTTATCGGAATTTTCAGAGAATGACCACTTCGATCCTCCAACAACAGCACTCGTCTGTAACACCCTCTGGTTCATCAGTCTCGGGCTCAGTCTTACCTCCGCCTTGACGGCCACTTTGGTGGAACAGTGGGCCCGCGAGTTTCTCCAAAGGACGGAGATGCCGCCTTCGCCAGTCAAACGCGCTCGGATGTACTCATATCTATTACGGTCTAAAGCGCTTCCGCATGCACACAGTGGTGGCGCTTCTTCCGCTGTTACTCCATGTTTCCCTCCTCTTGTTCTTCGCTGGGCTCGTATCATTTCTTCACCCCCTCAACAAAACCGTGACGATCGTCGCCGCCACACTCCTTGCTGTCATGGCTGGACTCTACGGCTGCATGACGATCCTTCCCCTCCTCTGGTTCGACTGCCCATATAAAACCCCACTCTCCGCCGTATTATGGAACATCCGCCGAATTTTCGCTCTATTCATCTTGCATCGCTTTCCGGCGTACCATATTATCGGCCGTGACACTACTGCTACTTCACCCCACCTGCGTTCAATGAACGATGCCATGGTGCATAAAGCGACATTTCGCTCGAATGCCCGCACAGTGCGAGATAAACGAGCACTCGCGTGGACGATGAAGTCGTTGGCAGATGATGACGAACTTGAACCCTTCGTTGAAGGCATTCCGGACGCTATCTTGGGCCCTCAAGGACGTCGCGTGAAATACGACGAGCTGATTTACGAGCTCCTCACTGACCCACTGGTTTCACTCGGCTCCCGTATCGAACATTTACTCCTTGGCTGCGAAAGCGGCCTACTGGAGCCCAGTGCCAAACTCAGGCGCCAGACATCGTGTCTCAAAGTAATATGGTGCTTGGGGATGATGGCGGAAAAGAATTACAAGTCAGTTCAGCCACTATCCTTCTTCCCGAAGAGCTTCTCATTCCTTCCCCCGAAAACTCCCTTGACCGCGCAGTATCTGCCGTCTATAGCAGCTCTTGTGCAATGGAGTAATTTTTGTTCTCTACAAGGCCACGCCGAGGAGCTCGCCTGCTATTTGCGCGATGCTGCACTTGAAGCGGCGTCGCCTCAGGATACATTCCCCGATATGCAACCATGTTATACCGGTCTGCGCGAGTTCCTGATGCAGCGCCGTCGTTGCGACTGGCATTATATCATTCCGATCACTCTAGACTTAGAGAAACTGGATCTGCAAAAGCTCTCTACCAGAACCCCCCAGAACACCCGCGAATTAACGGTCTGGGTTCGGGAAGTTTCCCGGCTCATTAACGTCGTTCCAACCTGTTGGAGTGCTCTGCAGAATCGGATATTACTTTCCTTCCTCCAAGGATCTGCGGATCTGGAATCGCCCCCATACGAATTTGAACAGACGTATCAAACCATCCAAACTTCTACTTCTCTCAATCCTGCCGATATTCCGCTAGAGAACGCCGCCTCCACATTTTCATACAATGTGGAGAAGGTTGTTCAAATGCAAACCCAATCCATTAATCACGTCGACATGATCCTTGGCATCCTCCTTCCGTTATTTGACGCAGCCGATGATGAGGTAGATGTCGACTCTGTCACCGACAGCCTCCTCGAATACATGAATAACAGCAACTGCAACGAAGCTATATGTCGAGTCTTCCAAGATTGTGATTTGACCCGCGTCTGGCGTCGCATTACGAAGCGATTGTCGACATGCCGGCCGGATCGTTCAGGAGAAGTCTCGAAAGCGATATGGCTCTTAGTGTCGCTATTTCCGGGACGCTCAGCGACCGATGCGCGGCTGGCCACTTGGCCGGACTTTGACGGGAACTCGTTGGCAGTTGCTCCTGTCGCATCATACGCCGCATCCGTCATGGCTCTTCTCAAAACCCACATTTTAAATGCCTATGAGGCGGCAGAAGTCCGATTACACCTCCAGGCACTCGAAGACATTTTGGTAACGGCGGAGAACACGCCCATGTCTACTGTACTGATGTCGCAATGGTGGCTCGTGAACAAGGACTGGGAAACTCTCGCATCCATATGTTCGCTGTTAATTCCAGTCACCACAAATGGCCCCCATTTACGCATCCTGCCGCCATTGCCGCCGTATAAGTTTGAAACTCCTCTGGAATACAAAACCTGGCGAACGCGAACCCTTTCCGCGGTCAATGATGGGCTGGAATTGATCCCGAACTTGGATAAGAGAACTGGAGAGGCACGACTGGCCATCCTCGTTGAATTTTTGCAGGCCTGCTCCAAGGACGATTCGGGGTTGCCTTATAACCCATCGGAGACTCTGGACAACATATTACATTCCCTTTGGGCTGACCTCCCAGTACACCACATTCACCAGACAGACTTCACCGCCGCCTTCAGGTCTCTCCTGGAGGTTCCGGGAATAACGTCGGACCGGTCGCGTCTATTGAAAGCTCTTATCGTCTCGAACGTGTTCAGCGAAGGGATTCCTTGGTTGGACGATCCTGAATCACTAAAAGCGATGAAAGGCGTCCTAGGGAAATACGCGACGCTCACGTCCGCAGACTCTGGCTTGACGGCTCAGGGTCGGCGCAAACTCGAGGATATCCTGACATGGCTGGAGATTAAGGAAAATGTGCTTGTCCAAGACTTCAAGGGGCGCCACACCAATGGGACAGTATATCCTGGTAATGCCGCCGCTGGTCCATCGAAGGTTCGCGTTAATGGTTAAGTGCTACTAGTACATTTTTCTTGTATTTCTGCATCACGACAGCAATCAATTTACGAGTACTTATGTAATAAGTCTCGTCTCTTTCAGAATGCTCAATCAGCAAAATCATCGATTTTTTCCTGTGTTATGCTCGAAACGCTGAGGGACTTTTTAGGGGCTGTACTATTGAAATTAGTCGCTATGCTTAATTTCCATTCAAAAAATCGTATTGAAAATAGTGGCTGTGTCATTGTTCATATTATTTTGAGATCATTGATGGATTTTTCACCGAGTCATCTTCTCCAAAAAAAAAATTGGTCTACCGGTTAATCGGGTAGCTGGATATCCGAGCTCTATTTATGTCTTAATCTAATCTGTGGATCATCGCACCGGACCCGGTCGGCTGCTTCGGCATGGTACTAGTAGTGCAGCCTCCGTGTTGTATCTACACCTTAATCTTATCTATGGCAACCCCTTCGACATCTTGCGTGCTGTTCTTACCAAGTTCTTATTTACTATCCAGCTGCATTTCATTGAAGATATGAGAAGAATAACAATTGAAATTGCACAAAGGCAGCGAAGGGCCAGGCACTCCAGGAATATAATACAACATCTTTGTATCCACTTTCTTGTCTGCTCTTCGACACATGCCCGTGAGAACCACACCAGTAAAACTTAAAGGT